ATATATCATTAATTAATAATAAAACTTTTGAGTGTAAAAAATCCGCCAAAGTAAAATTAAATTCGTTATTAAGGATCTAAAGCGACAAGGGTAAATTCTTAAAAGAATAAGCATAAAATCAGAAATTACATTTAGATCTTTACGCACTTATTAGCACAAATAATTATGTAATAACAGTTTTTATTTAGGACACTTCAAAGGATAACAAATAAATTATTAATACGATAACCCGCCCAAATTTGGGCGAATGGTGCCGTTGTTTAGTGCTTAGCACTCATATTTTACTCATGGGGTTCCCCCATACCGTTTAACACAGCCACTACCATATCCTATATTTATGATCTTATGACGGAATATTAATTAACATATAAACAGAACCAACACCTCAAAAGATTTTAATTGAAAATACCGATTCAACGATATGGCTCCCGAATGTAGGCCATTTCATTCTTTAATTAGACGTTTTAAACGTTAGCTCATTCCAGAATATTTTGGATCTGCTATCCTAATCACACAAATTTCCTTTACGCCTGAAATAATAAATGCGTAGCACGTGATCCATTATATTCATTACTGATATTTTCTGATTAGATTATAGTGAATGCTGGTAGATGCCCAATAATTTCTTGAAAATTGTGTCCTTAAAACGTATCTATACGTTGCTCATCAGTTCAACTGTTTGAAATTTTAAATAATTTCGAACAAAACAAAGAACAAAAGTAAATGTTAAATTTGTTAAAATCGCTTTGTATTCTGAAAATGTGTATTTTTCATAAAAACGCCAACAGTTGGCTATAGGAATGTATATAGTATTCGACAGAGTATTAAATTCTATAACTACTGCTGACATAAAATACACGGTGTTCTATTTAAAATAAACAAGCTCTTGCCGTTTAAAGCTTGTATTTATTTAATCATAATGCTTGGAAACCCTGTACACGTTAGGTACTTTTTCAAAAGGGCGATACAAAACTTAATCAATTATGGGATTTAAACATTTTTTTTTTCTCAAAATTCAAAGTATTTCAAAATCCTTAAGGTTTACGTGAGGTAAACCTTGATGATATTCGCTGTTATTTTGATCATATAATCCTAAAATGTAAAAATAAATGGTGTTCTATTTAAAAAATATAACTTTAATACATTTGTTTTTTGAACACCCTACACATTATGAAAACAATTTTAAAATGTACTACCATATCTACCCCTAAAGCAAAACTTTCTTAAAATCTAGTAACACAGCCGTTATTCATTCGTGTCAAATAAAGTAAATAAAACTTTATTTTTAATGTTTATGTTTTGCGTTGGCCAAAATTTGTTATGATAATAAATAATAAATCTTCTCTCAAAATCCGACTGTCAGAAATTAGTTGACTATTAATATATATATTTGAAGGATGATTATGCCCACATTCGATACCAACGAAGTTGTCGTTTTATCGAAATTCCTAATCGAAAATTACCAATCTTTTGATATTCTGTCATAAGCAGCAAATGGTAGTGAGCCACAGAGCTAAATGCCCAACGACTGAAAAATCAGTATTCCGCAAACAACTAAATCACGTAAGATTTTCATAGTCCTTTCAAAGTACCTCAAAAACTATCTTTTATATGGTAGTTAGCATACCCTACATATTTTCTTAGAAGACCTCATAAAAGCCACAAAACTTAATTAACTTACATATATTAAGATATAATGATTAAGCATTTGCTTTATAGTAAAAATTCTTACTTATTTTCTAGTCTGGTAGGACCGGTTATTTGATTCCACTTTGATACCTTATGTTCATTATATACCATTGATCCCAAAACTGCCGCCCACAAACCATAGGCTCTCATTTTATTGTACTCTTCTGACCATTTATCGAAAAATGTTTGCGAAAAACTTAAAATATCGGCAGTTGCAGAAATGTCCCCTATATGTCCATAATACTTTAAGTAATTCTCCTGTAAAAATAAAATGCATTTCCTGGGATTCGGTGCGAATGTCGTGATTAGGGACTCTAAGTCAACATCTAAACGCCACGATCCATCACCTCTATCGATTCGTTTTGGATTTAATATACGGCCAACACCATGAAACAATGTCAATGATTCATCTTTGCACATGTTTTTCAACTTCGCATTTGGTTTGGCCGAACGTTTCCGTTTATTACTAGATCTTGTACACTCTTGCATTTCAAGTTTACCAGAAGCTGAAATTTAAGCAACACAACTACATCACAATAATTTAAAATTGCCTTTCAATTTTGCAAGCTGTGAATCAAATTATCACGTTTTTGTAAAATTAATAGTGGTTGATTTATTTAGCAGAATCGAAAAAATAACGTC